ACGCGGTAAGGACGCTGTCGCAGAGGCGAATGTGAGCCGGTGTGAATAGTATGAGCGATAGTGGTGGTGCGGCCCAAAGCAGGTTCTTGAAAGTCGAAAAAAGAGCGAAACTTGTTAAGGAGAGCAACAAGTTGGCGGCGATGCGAGAGGGGAAGGTCTGCGTCAATAGCATTGTCGAAGGCTGACGAACTTGATGGCTCAGACGCATGAGTGATTGCAGCAATGTGACATGGCGTTTCGTCGGGAAGAATAATATCATCGATATGGTCGACAGGTTGCACATATCCTAACGTTTCACCACGAAGTAAGCCAATGGGGTAGTTGCAGTGGTTGTTGACCAGCATTACGGTTAAACCAGACGCAATTGTAAGAACAGCAAATGGGAGAACGATGCCCTTGCGTTCAGTAAAAACCGGAGATAGCGTAAACACCACCGTGCCGTCAGGTTGCGCCAGACATGAAAGGCTAATAGGGACCGAAGCTTCAGGAGGCAAGGTGATGTCGTCATCAGCGATGACTTTGCAGAGCAGAGGAGAGCGGTCGGGTGGTGGAAATTCACATGTTGGCACAAGGGACACTTCGGCACGGGAACAATCGATGATAGCTTCATGACGTGATAAGAAATCCCAACCCAGGATAAGGTCATGAGAGCAAGATGGTAGAACAAAAAACTGTACGACGTACAAAACGTCTCGAATGACGACGCGCGCCGTACACGCAGCCGAGGGATGAATGCGTTGCGCGCTAGCCGTGGACAGCACCAAGCCACTGAGAGATGTGGTCACTTTCTTCAGTTTCCTACAAAAGCTTGCGTTCATCACAGAAACGGCGGCCCCGGTATCAATTAACGCTAATGTGGCGACTCCCTCTACATCGACGTCAACAACATTTTGCGGCGAAAATGGAGGCCTTGGGAATTGCGCACAAGTTGCAGTTCTTGCCCCCGGAACTGCACTGATTAGTTTCCCTCCTCAAGAGGTGGTCGACGACGCATAGGGGATGGCGATCGGTGACGAGGTGATGGGAAACGAGCAGTCGATGGGTGGCGATCCGAGTCGGAGTGCCTCTGTTCATATGCAGACGTGGTGGTCTGCTGCGGTGCGTAGGTAGGAGCTCCGAAGTATGCGTGCGCAGGCGTTGGACGGCGGCGGCAGAAGCGTGCAATGTGGCCAGCGATGCCACACGTGAAACAGATGGGACGATTGTCTCGGGTGCGCCACTCATTAGATGGACGGAAAAAGCGAGGTGGGGGCCTGTAGACTGGAGGCGAGGCCGGAGGAGGTGGAGCCGATAAAGCGACTGGATGCGGTGGGGGCCGCGCGACCACAGCTGCGTAGCTGAGACGTGAAGGCGGCGCAGTTGGTGCGTAGCCAGCAGTTGAGAGATCAGATGGCACCGAAGTGCACGGGTAAGAGGCCGGCACTGTAGGGAGTGCATTGCAAATTTCAGTGCGTATGGCCTGCTGCATATTCGAAGGGAGGCTTGTCGTGGGCGCGTCACTATGCGGCAGCAGGGAAAGCTGTCGGGCGACTTCCTCCCTGATGAAGTCTTTAATCTTGTTCGACAGAGTTCCTTGGTGAACGTTGCCATTGGAGAGTGCGACGGCCGAGATCGAATCTGGTGATGGGACACTCTGTCGGGCGATGGAACGGTGACGACGCAATTCATCGAAGCTCTGGCACAGGCTTACGAGGACTGCCACTTTGGTCGGGCTCTTCGCCAGCAACATCTGGAATGCGCCATTCTCGATGCCTTTGAGAATATGTCGAATTTTCTCTTCTTCAGGCATAGATAAGTTAACACGCCTGCAGAGGTCGAGCACATCCTCAATATAGCTAGTAAAGGCCTCACCAGGTTGCTGGGCTGGGTGGCGCAGACGCTGGTCAGCGCGGAGCTTGCGGACCTTTGGTCGGCCGAACGCTTCGGTCACGAGGGTCTTGAAGGTGGACCAGCTGGCGATGGCGGTTTCGCGGTTGGTGAACCATAGCTTGGCGACGTCAGCCAAGTAAAAGATGACATAGGCAAGCTTAGAGTCGTTGTCCCATTTGTGGCTGGCACTCACGCGTTCGTACAAGGAGAGCCAGTCTTCGACGTCTTGCTCACCACTGCCGCTGAAGATTGGTGGGTCCCGCTGACGGGTAGCACCGGGGCAGGTCGACGGGGCAGCCGATGGTGCTGGCTGTGCTGGGATGGGCTGGTTGGCGACTGCGTCAGTCATGTTGTACGGTAGTCTTTCGGCCAACTTGCGAGAGCGGAGCTCCAGGTCTGCTTAGGGATCCCCGGCACCTCCACCAAATGCGATGATGTTTATTAGAACAGAGGAGTCGCAACGAGGTCGCGACGGAAAATGGGCGAACAGCAAGTCTGGCAAAGGCGGCACAGGTTCTCGCGCAATCAGAGCACGGGCTTTTCGTTGTCTTCCGAAGGCGCATACGCGTTGGTGCGTATGCTCCACTACAACTCGTATAATGAAAAGGCGCTCGGTAAGCATGAAAACAAGAAAAAAAGGGCAGATCCCACGTACTTGGGAATCGACATTATGCGAAGCATGCGGAGGTAAGGTGACCATGTTGCATCTTTTTAATTGAGCGACATGTCATGAAACGACGCTAATTATATGTACAGTGTCAATTTTTATGAAAGGGAACACGAGAACACGTGGCCTGCGCGCTCCGGCGGCTGCTGGCAGCGCGTTCAAGCGGAAACGAGAACAACCGCAGTCTCTTTTAGCGTCATCTCGCGGCGAGCAAAACAATTTGTCGCTGATATGGTACCAGCAGCAACATTGTGACCCCTCCCCCTTCAAGGCAATTACGGGCTCTCCTGTAATCACCTTAAGAGGCAGGGGGTCGCAATGTTGCCGTTCTATATCGGCAACAAATGGTTGTTTTGCTCGCCACGAGACGCGAAAAGAGACTGTGGTTGCTATCGCTTCCGCTTGAACGCGCTGCCAGCAGCCGCCGGAGCATGCAGGCCACGCGTCGCCATGTTCCCTGTCATAAAAATTGACACTGTACAAATGTTGCACGCACAGACATATTTAGAAGAGTTGCAGATGTTCATATAACCAGTTGTTTGCACTTGCGCAATGACGTCAAATAGAACATGCGTACTAGCAACGCCAGAAGCTGATAGGAAGCGCTGATGCTCGCGACGATACTGGCCCTGGACACTTCTACGTAAATTAACTTCAGCGCATGACTTTAACCCGACGTGACGGCTCTATCAAAGAAGCACATATGTAATGTTTATAAAATTGGGTAGGCAGCACTGCGAACACTTTTGACGCTTCAGGAAGAGATTCGCGTCTATTTGAAAGGTAGTTCCGAGTCCTGGCGTAACTCTGTGGTAAAATGCCTCATTGGCACGCAGAATACTTTGGTTCGATTCCAGTTGGGACCCTGGAATATATTCTTTGCATTCGTCGGGTTGACGCTACCTATGTCGGCTATGAACACTCGTGCGTAAAAATTTCCCAAGTGTGTCATTACTGGGTAGATACTAAGTGTCAATCAACTGTGGCACATACCCGCGTACCAGCGGCACATACCCGCCAGTGGATATGTGCCACTTTCTGGCGGGTAGTGTCTGAGGACTTACGCAGCGGGATTGTGACATTATTCATGTCTTGACCAGCGCGTCATATTCGTTAAACCATTTTATCCTCCCATACTAACTTTGGTTCACGCCAAGTTACAAGGGTGACCACAAGAGCACCCAAACGTAAGCGACTAGATAGATGGATACGCTCCAAGTCGCCGAAGCTCGCTAAGAAATGTTTCGAATTTAAAACACACGTGACGACTCCACCTTGAAGTGCTAACCATGGCCAGCACACAGAAAAAAGAAACAAGAAACACAAGAAAGTGCACCACAGCATTCGTGTCATGCACTTTTTTGTGTTTGTTCTTTTTTTATGCACTGATCTCCATGAATATGTGCCAACTAGCCCAATTTGCTGGTTTACTTCACCTTGAAGTGCTCGCACCAGCTTGCCGTGACGTCTTAGATGGAAGTAAGGCTTAGAAGTCTGTCGGTAAAACAGAATGTTTACATTGAGGCACTAAAAAAACCTGTAGTATAGCCACTGTAAACAAAAAAAAACATTAACTGAACCAATGTGGCTGAAAACCACAAATATCTTGTGCTTCATGATGTTCCACTTACGTCCAAGCTTCGGCGTATACTTCAAGTTTACTTACTTCAAAAGTAAACTTAGGCCTCCGTTTCCTCTTCAAACAATTATTCTATTACGGTGAAATCAATGACAGCTGAGCTCGAAAAGAATAATGCATCTCTTCGAACTGGTTCGTTGTTTCAGTTTAATGACCAGTTCATTGGCACGAGCCCGGTTCAAAGAGCACGGTCAATGGCTCGTGGCGGATCCAGAGGTGGATGGTAGGGGAGATCACATCCGTTCCCTCCCAAAGGTTGTATCAGCACTCCCATTCCGCTCCCTTCAGTGCCAGTTATCTATTTCTATCACCGATTAGGACAGATTAGGGGGACAAAATTAACGGTATTTATGCTGTGATGTGGTTGTTAAGACGATAGTGATTGCTGAAAACAAAAGTCAAGATTCTCCAGTAGAACTTTGAGCAACCCCCTCCTCCCATCGAAAAAAAATGAGTGGCTCGATCTAACTGTTCATGAGCGCAGGAACGGTGATGTCACCTGTGTGATGCGCAAAGTGCAAAAATACAGACGCATGCAAAACCGAGGCAGATTAGTCTCCCTACTTCTTCCTCTCTACCTTCTCCCCTCAAACCGGCGAACACGCGTTCCCGCCACTGACCGCAGCCGACTCTCTCCAAGCTCGCGGGTCTTGAAAAGCGTCTGCTGAAAAAAGTACAAATTCGTTTGCGTCCAACTTCTAAGGGGCTTCGCTCATTGGTTGTATTAGTACACGGAAATGCTAGTTATGATTACCATACATCTCACTTGCGTGAGGATTACAAACATACATGTGACTTAATGCCTTGTACTTTCTTTCAACCCAGTGGTGGGCAAGGAAGAGAAGGGCACCAAGAAGAAAGTCAAGGAAGCTTCAGGTCAGTAGTGCCTTATGTTCTTCATTCCTCAAGGTTGCTCTGGGCCTTATTCACTTTCCCAAATAGTTTAAAAAAAGCCCGTAGTTGTCCACAGCTGTCAACATATGAACCTGTCGTGATTACGTTTATTCGAGCAGAGAAGTCGCAACGAGGTCGCGACGGAAAATGGGTGTACGGCAAGTCTGGCACAGGCGGCACAAGCTCTCGCGCATGCAGAGCACGGGGCTTTTCGTTATCTTCCAAAGGCGATATACGCGTTGGTGAGTATTCTCCCCTACAATACCCCCGTGGTGAAGGGTAGCCATCCTGGCGACTCAGGGAGTAGGCACAATGAGGGGGTCGTAGTAGGGCTTGAGACGGTCGACGTGTACGGTCTCGCGTCCTCGACGTCGCAAGTCTGGTGATTGTGTTAGTGGCTCGATGATGTAGTTCACCGGGGAGGTCAGGTCAATGACACGGTACGGACCATGGTACCTGGCCAAAAGTTTCGAAGGCAGGCCAGGAACGTGTGGGGGCACCCAAAGCCACACAAGGGAGCCAGCACGAAACGTAGGAGCTATGTGGTGAGCGACGTCATGTCGAGTATTTTGTAGACCTTGAGCCTCACTTGTCAGAGACCGAGCCAACTGACGGCAGTCTTCAGCGTATCAGGCGATTTCCGAAAGCGGGGAGCACTCAGATGCATCAGGGCGGTACGGGAGTATATTGTCGAGTGGTTGGGAAGGTTCGCGGCCGTACAATAGAAAGAACGGGGAAAAACCGGTAGTCGCTTGCGTCGCGGTGTTATAAGTGAAGGTAATAAAAGGCAATACAGCGTCCCAGTTAGTGTGGTCGGAGGAGGTGTACATCCTCAACATGTGACCAAGTGTGCGGTTGAACCGCTCAGTGAGACCATTTGTCTGTGTATGGTATGCAGTAGATTTCCGGTGGATGATGTTGCATTCAGCGAGGATAGCTTGGATGACCTCCGACAGGAACACTCGACCATATCACTGAGTAATTCCCGTGGAGCACCATGGCGTAGAATGAAGCTGCGGAGAATGAAGAGTGCAACTTCGTGGGCGGTCGCTGCCGGTAGAGCTGCAGTCTCAGCGTAGCGTGTCAGATGATCGACTCCGACAATAATCCACCGGTTTCCAGAGATACTATATGGGAGGGGGCCATAGAGGTCTATACCCACGCGGTCAAATGGGCGAGCCGGGCACGGGAGCGGCTGTAACATGCCAGTTAGGTGCCGCGGAGGTGTCTTGTTCTGTTGGCAGGTGGTGCAAGACTGAACGTATTTCTGCACAAAGCGATACATTCCTCGCCAGTAATATTGTTGGCGCAGCCTTTCGTAGGTTTTCAGGACACCTGCGTGAGCACTTTGGGGACCTGCATGGAAATTCATGCAGATGTCAGAGCGCATATGAGTTGGGACAGCAAGGAGCCACTTCCGACCACCAGGCATGTAGTTGCGGCGGTACAGAATGTTGTCTCGTAAGAAAAGTGGGCTGCTTGCCGGCGTAGCGCTCTCGTGGAAGGGACAGCAGATGGATCGGTAAGGTAGTCGACTAACAAGGCAAGGTATGGGTCTTTGCGAGTGGTTCTTAAGATAGAGAAAGGAAGAGAAAAGTGAGCCCCGTTATTGTCTTCTTCAGGAGCGACACCGCCACAGAGCTCACAAGGGATGGGGGTGAGGAGGGATAAAAAGGGTAGAAGTAAAGGTATAGAAAAGAGGAAGAAGAAGCAACAACAAACTGAGGGGATAGGAGAGACAGGAAAGATGGAAGCATGGTCACTGGAGTCCGAGGACGGGGTACACTTGCGAGAGATGTTGTCGGCGTCTGTAGATGACGTAGAGCAGGTCCAGTAGGTCAGAACTGCACTGTCGTCGAAGACCGTCGGCGACAGGAGGTGACGTAGGGCCAGCCCAGTCGGCCAGAGCTACGAAGACGCCGAAGGTCGCGAGCGCGCGGAGCACACGGGCGCACAACCGGTCGGCACGGAATCCAGTGAGAGGTATGGGTCTTTACGCTGCTTCGAAAGCATGTCAGTGGTGTCAAGTGGTGACAAGGTGGTAAAAAGGGGTGACAGAGAAGCCACATCTGGTGTTAATGGCCCATTAACACCAGATGTGGCTTCTGATCGAGAAAGTGCATCGGTGTCCGCATGCTTGCGACCGGAACGATATACTACACGGATGTCGTATTCCTGCAATCAAAGTTCCCAACGCCCCAGACGTCCGGACGGGTCTTTCAAGGTGGACAGCCAACATAGAGCTTGTTGGTCTGTGACCACGTCGGAAAGGACGGCCGTAAAGCTACGGGCAAAACTTCGTAAGCGCCAAGATTATGTCCAAACACTCCTTCTCTGTCACGGAGTAATACAATTCAGCCTTCTTGAGAGCGCGACTTGCATAAGCGGCTACGTATTCGGTTTGGGTGCCTTTCCGTTGTGGCAAAACTGCACCAAGACCGATGCCACTTGCATCGGTGTGAATTTCTGTGGCCGCAGCAGGGTCGAAGTGACGAAGAATAGGTGGTGAGGTCAGCAGGCGGCGCAGCTGGCGAAATGCGTCGTCACATGCAGGTGACCATGCAGATATGCCTTTGCTGTTGGAAAGCAGACTCGTGAGAGGTGCGATGATGGACGCGAAGTTGCGCACGAAGCGACGAAAGTAGGAGCAGAGACCGACGAAACTTCGTAGGGCTTTCAGTGATGTAGGCAACGGAAAGTCAGCGACAGCTCGAAGCTTATCGGGATCCGGAAGAACACCGTCTCTGGTGATGACATGTCCCAAGATGGTTAGTTTTCGTGCTACGAAGTGGCACTTCTTGGAGTTAAGTTGTAGGCCTGCAGAAGTTAGACACGTCAGAATCTCGTGGAGGCGAGCAAGATGTGTCGGGAAATCAGATGAAAAGACTACGATGTCGTCCAGGTAACATAAGCAGGTTTTCTACTTGTGGGCACGCAAGATGGTGTCGATCATGCGCTCAAATGTGGCAGGCGCGTTGCAGAGCCCAAATGGCATGACTTTGAACTCATATAGGCCATCCGGCGTTACAAAGGCTGTTTTAGGGCTGATCACATTCAGCCATTGGCACCTGCCAATACCCACAACGCAGATCCAAAGATGTAAAGTACTCGGCGCCTTGTAAACAGTCAAGAGCATCGTCTATTCGTGGTAGCGGGTAGACATCTTTTTTTGTAATATTGTTTAAGCGGCGATAGTCGACGCAAAATCGTACGGTGCCATCTTTTTTCTTGACCAGAACCACAGGTGATGACCAAGCGCTTTGAGAAGGCTGTATGACTCCACGTTTAAGCATGTCATCTACTTGCTCCGTAATGACGTGGCGCTCTTCGGCGGAAACGCGGTAAGGACGCTGTCGCAGAGGCGAATGTGAGCCGGTGTGAATAGTATGAGCGATAGTGGTGGTGCGGCCCAAAGCAGGTTCTTGAAAGTCGAAAAAAGAACGAAACTTGTTAAGGAGAGCAACAAGTTGGCGGCGATGCGAGAGGGGAAGGTCTGCGTCAATAGCATTGTCGAAGGCTGACAAACTTGATGGCTCAGACGCATGAGTGATTGCAGCAATGTGACATGGCGTTTCGTCGGGAAGAATAATATCATCGATATGGTCGACAGGTTGCACATATCCTAACGTTTCACCACGAAGTAAGCCAATGGGGTAGTTGCAGTGGTTGTTGACCAGCATTACGGTTAAACCAGACGCAATTGTAAGAACAGCAAATGGGAGAACGATGCCCTTGCGTTCAGTAAAAACCGGAGATGGCGTAAACACCACCGTGCCGTCAGGTTGCGCCAGACATGAAAGGCTAATAGGGACCGAAGCTTCAGGAGGCAAGGTGATGTCGTCATCAGCGATGACTTTGCAGAGCAGAGGAGAGCGGTCGGGTGGTGGAAATTCACATGTTGGCACAAGGGAAACTTCGGCACGGGAACAATCGATGACAGCTTCATGACGTGATAAGAAATCCCAACCCAGGATAAGGTCATGAGAGCAAGATGGTAGAACAAAAAACTGTACGACGTACAAAACGTCTCGAATGACGACGCGCGCCGTACACACAGCCGAGGGATGAATGCGTTGCGCGCTAGCCGTGGACAGCACCAAGCCACTGAGAGATGTGGTCACTTTCTTCAGTTTCCTACAAAAGTTTGCGTTCATCACAGAAACGGCGGCCCCGGTATCAATTAACGCTAATGTGGCGACTCCCTCAACATCGACGTCAACAACATTTTGCGGCGAAAATGGAGGCCTTGGGAATTGCGCACAAGTTGCAGTTTTTGCCTCCGGAACTGCACTGATTAGTTTCCCTCCTCAAGAGGTGGTCGACGACGCATAGGGGATGGCGATCGGCGACGAGGTGATGGGAAACGAGCAGTCGATGGGTGGCGATCCGAGTCGGAGTGCCTGTGTTCATATGCAGACGTGGTGGTCTGCTGCGGTGCGTAGGTAGGAGCTCCGAAGTATGCGTGCGCAGGCGTTGGACGGCGGCGGCAGAAGCGTGCAATGTGGCCAGCGATGCCACACGCGAAACAGATGGGACGATTGTCTCGGGTGCGCCACTCATTAGATGGACGGAAAAAGCGAGGTGGGGGCCTGTAGACTGGAGGCGAGGCCGGAGGAGGTGGAGCCGATAAGGCGACTGGATGCGGTGGGGGCCGCGCGACCACAGCTGCGTAGCTGAGAGGTGAAGGCGGCGCAGTTGGTGCGTAGCCAGCAGTTGAGAGATCAGATGGCACCGAAGTGCACGGGTAAGAGGCCGGCACTGTAGGGAGTGCATTGCAAATTTCAGTGCGTATGGCCTGCTGCATATTCGAAGGGAGGCTTGTCGTGGGCGCGTCACTATGCGGCAGCAGGGAAAGCTGTCGGGCGACTTCCTCCCTGATGAAGTCTTTAATCTGGTTCGACAGAGTTCCTTGGTGAACGTTGCCATTGGCGAGTGCGACGGCCGAGATCGAATCTGGTGATGGGACACTCTGTCGGGCGATGGAACGCTGACGACGCAATTCATCGAAGCTCTGGCACAGGCTTACGAGGACTGCCACCGTGGTCGGGCTCTTCGCCAGCAACATCTGGAATGCGCCATCCTCGATGCCTTTGAGAATATGTCGAATTTTCTCTTCTTCAGGCATGGATGAGTTAACACGCCTGCAGAGGTCGAGCACATCCTCAATATAGCTAGTAAAGGTCTCACCAGGTTGCTGGGCTCGGTGGCGCAGACGCTGGTCAGCGCGGAGCTTGCGGACCTCTGGTCGGCCGAACGCTTCGGTCACGAGGGTCTTGAAGGTGGACCAGCTGGCGATGGCGGTTTCGCGGTTGGTGAACCATAGCTTGGCGACGTCAGCCAAGTAAAAGATGACATAGGCAAGCTTAGAGTCGTTGTCCCATTTGTTGCTGGCACTCACGCGTTCGTACAAGGAGAGCCAGTCTTCGACGTCTTGCTCACCACTGCCGCTGAAGATTGGTGGGTCCCGCTGACGGGTAGCACCGGGGCAGGTCGACGGGGCAGCCGATGGTGCTGGCTGTGCTGGGATGGGCTGGTTGGCGACTGCGTCAGTCATGTTGTACGGTAGTCTTTCGGCCAACTTGCGAGAGCGGAGCTCCAGGTCTGCTTAGGGATCCCCGGCACCTCCACCAAATGCGATGATGTTTATTAGAACAGAGGAGTCGCAACGAGGTCGCGACGGAAAATGGGCGAACAGCAAGTCTGGCAAAGGCGGCACAGGTTCTCGCGCAATCAGAGCACGGGCTTTTCGTTGTCTTCCGAAGGCGCATACGCGTTGGTGCGTATGCTCCACTACAACTCGTATAATGAAAAGGCGCTCGGTAAGCATGAAAACAAGAAAAAAAGGGCAGATCCCACGTACTTGGGAATCGACATTATGCGAAGCATGCGGAGGTAAGGTGACCATGTTGCATCTTTTTAATTGAGCGACATGTCATGAAACGACGCTAATTATATGTACAGTGTCAATTTTTATGAAAGGGAACACGAGAACACGTGGCCTGCGCGCTCCGGCGGCTGCTGGCAGCGCGTTCAAGCGGAAACGAGAGCAACCGCAGTCTCTTTTAGCGTCATCTCGCGGCGAGCAAAACAATTTGTCGCTGATATGGTACCAGCAGCAAGATTGTGACCCCTCCCCCTTCAAGGCAATTACGGGCTCTCCCGTAATCACCTTAAGAGGCAGGGGGTCTCAATGTTGCCGTTCTATATCGGCAACGAATGGTTGTTTTGCTCGCCACGAGACGCGAAAAGAGACTGTGGTTGCTATCGCTTCCGCTTGAACGCGCTGCCAGCAGCCGCCGGAGCATGCAGGCCACGCGTCGCCATGTTCCCTGTCATAAAAATTGACACTGTACAAATGTTGCACGCACAGACATATGTAGAAGAGTTGCAGATGTTTATATAACCAGTTGTTTGCACTTGCGCAATGACGTCAAATAGAACATGCGTACTAGCAACAGCCAGAAGCTGATAGGAAGCGCTGATGCTCGCGACGATACTGGCCCTGGACACTTCTACGTAAATTAACTTCAGCGCATGACTTTAACCCGACGTGACGGCTCTATCAAAGAAGCACATATGTAATGTTTATAAAATTGGGTAGGCAGCACTGCGAACACTTTTGACGCTTCAGGAAGAGATTCGCGTCTATTTGAAAGGTAGTTCCGAGTCCTGGCGTAACTCTGTGGTAAAATGCCTCATTGGCACGCAGAATACTTTGGTTCGATTCCAGTTGGGACCCTGGAATTTATTCTTTGCATTCGTCGGGTTGACGCTACCTATGTCGGCTATGAACGCTCGTGCGTAAAAATTGCCCATGTGTGTCATTACTGGGTAGATACTAAGTGTCAATCAACTGTGGCACATACCCGCGTACCAGCGGCACATACCCGCCAGTGGATATGTGCCACTTTCTGGCGGGTAGTGTCTGAGGACTTACGCAGCGGGATTGTGACATTATTCATGTCTTGACCAGCGCGTCATATTCGTTAAACCATTTTATCCTCCCATACTAACTTTGGTTCACGCCAAGTTACAAGGGTGACCACAAGAGCACCCAAACGTAAGCGACTAGATAGATGGATACGCTCCAAGTCGCCGAAGCTCGCTAAGAAATGTTTCGAATTTAAAACACACGTGACGACTCCACCTTGAAGTGCTAACCATGGCCAGCACACAGAAAAAGAAACAAAAAACACAAGAAAGTGCACCACAGCATTCGTGTCATGCACTTTTTTGTGTTTGTTCTTTTTTTATGCACTGATCTCCATGAATATGTGCCAACTAGCCCAATTTGCTGGTTTACTTCACCTTGAAGTGCTCGCACCAGCTTGCCGTGACGTCTTAGATGGAAGTAAGGCTTAGAAGTCTGTCGGTAAAACAGAATGTTTACATTGAGGCACTAAAAAAACCTGTAGTATAGCCACTGTAAACAAAAAAAAAACATTAACTGAACCAATGTGGCTGAAAACCACAAATATCTTGTGCTTCATGATGTTCCACTTACGTCCAAGCTTCGGCGTTTACTTCAAGTTTACTTACTTCAAAAGTAAACTTAGGCCTCCGTTTCCTCTTCAAACAATTATTCTATTACGGTGAAATCAATGACAGCTGAGCTCGAAAAGAATAATGCATCTCTTCGAACTGGTTCGTTGTTTCAGTTTAATGACCAGTTCATTGGCACGAGCCCGGTTCAAAGAGCACGGTCAATGGCCCGTGGCGGATCCAGAGGTGGATGGTAGGGGTGATCACATCCGTTCCCTCCCAAAGGTTGTATCAGCACTCCCATTCCGCTCCCTTCAGTGCCAGTCATCTACCTCTATCACCGATTAGGACAGATTAGGGGGACAAAATTAACGGTATTTATGCTGTGATGTGGTTGTTAAGACGATAGTGATTGCTGAAAACAAAAGTCAAGATTCTCCAGTACAACTTTGAGCAACCCCCTCCCCCACCGAAAAAAAATGAGTGGCTCGATCTAACTGTTCATGAGCGCAGGAACGGTGATGTCACCCGCATGATGCGCAAAGTGCAAAAATACAGACGCATGCAAAACCGAGGCAGATTAGTCTCCCTACTTCTTCCTCTCTACCTTCTCCCCTCAAACCGGCGAACACGCGTTCCCGCCACTGACCGCAGCCGACTCTCTCCAAGCTCGCGGGTCTTGAAAAGCGTCTGCTGAAAAAAGTACAAAGTCGTTTGCGTCCAACTTCTAAGGGGCTTCGCTCATTGGTTGTATTAGTACACGGAAATGCTAGTTATGATTACCATACATCTCACTTGCGTGAGGATTACAAACATACATGTGACTTAATGCCTTGTACTTTCTTTCAACCCAGTGGTGGGCAAGGAAGAGAAGGGCACCAAGAAGAAAGTCAAGGAAGCTTCAGGTCAGTAGTGCCTTATGTTCTTCATTCCTCAAGGTTGCTCTGGGCCTTATTCACTTTCCCAAATAGTTTAAAAAAAGCCCGTAGTTGTCCACAGTTGTCAACATATGAACCTGTCGTGATTACGTTTATTCGAGCAGAGAAGTCGCAACGAGGTCGCGACGGAAAATGGGTGTACGGCAAGTCTGGCACAGGCGGCACAAGCTCTCGCGCAAGCAGAGCACGGGGCTTTTCGTTATCTTCCGAAGGCGCATACGCGTTGGTGAGTATGCTCCCCTACAATACCCCCGTGGTGAAGGGTAGCCATCCTGGCGACTCAGGGAGTAGGCACAATGAGGGGGTCGTAGTAGGGCTTGAGACGGTCGACGTGTACGGTCTCGCGTCCTCGACGTCGCAAGTCTGGTGATTGTGTTAGTGGCTCGATGATGTAGTTCACCGGGGAGGTCAGGTCAATGACACGGTACGGACCATGGTACCTGGCCAAAAGTTTCGAAGGCAGGCCAGGAACGTGTGGGGGCACCCAAAGCCACACAAGGGAGCCAGCACGAAACGTAGGAGCTATGTGGTGAGCGACGTCATGTCGAGTATTTTGTAGACCTTGAGCCTCACTTGTCAGAGACCGAGCCAACTGACGGCAGTCTTCAGCGTATCAGGCGATTTCCGAAAGCGGGGAGCACTCAGATGCATCAGGGCGGTACGGGAGTATATTGTCGAGTGGTTGGGAAGGTTCGCGGCCGTACAATAGAAAGAACGGGGAAAAACCGGTAGTCGCTTGCGTCGCGGTGTTATAAGTGAAGGTAATAAAAGGCAATACAGCGTCCCAGTTAGTGTGGTCGGAGGAGGTGTACATCCTCAACATGTGACCAAGTGTGCGGTTGAACCGCTCAGTGAGACCATTTGTCTGTGTATGGTATGCAGTAGATTTCCGGTGGATGATGTTGCATTCAGCGAGGATAGCTTGGATGACCTCCGACAGGAACACTCGACCATATCACTGAGTAATTCCCGTGGAGCACCATGGCGTAGAATGAAGCTGCGGAGAATGAAGAGTGCAACTTCGTTGGCGGTCGCTGCCGGTAGAGCTGCAGTCTCAGCGTAGCGTGTCAGATAATCGACTCCGACAATAATCCACCGGTTTCCAGAGATACTATATGGGAGGGGGCCATAGAGGTCTATACCCACGCGGTCAAATGGGCGAGCCGGGCACGAGAGCGGCTGTAACATGCCAGTTAGGTGCCGCGGAGGTGTCTTGTTCTGTTGGCAGGTGGTGCAAGACTGAACGTATTTCTGCACAAAGCGATACATTCCTCGCCAGTAATATTGTTGGCGCAGCCTTTCGTAGGTTTTCAGGACATCTGCGTGAGCACTTTGGGGACCTGCATGGAAATTCATGCAGATGTCAGAGCGCATATGAGTTGGGACAGCAAGGAGCCACTTCCGACCACCAGGCATGTAGTTGCGGCGGTACAGAATGTTGTCTCGTAAGGAAAAGTGGGCTGCTTGCCGGCGTAGCGCTCTCGTGGAAGGGACAGCAGATGGATCGGTAAGGTAGTCGACTAACAAGGCAAGGTATGGGTCTTTGCGAGTGGTTCTTAAGATAGAGAAAGGAAGAGAAAAGTGAGCCCCGTTATTGTCTTCTTCAGGAGCGACACCGCCACAGAGCTCACAAGGGATGGGGGTGAGGAGGGATAAAAAGGGTAGAAGTAAAGGTATAGAAAAGAGGAAGAAGAAGCAACAACAAACTGAGGGGATAGGAGAGACAGGAAAGATGGAAGCATGGTCACTGGAGTCCGAGGACGGGGTACACTTGCGAGAGATGTTGTCGGCGTCTGTAGATGCGTAGAGCAGGTCCAGTAGGTCAGAACTGCACTGTCGTCGAAGACCGTCGGCGACAGGAGGTGACGTAGGGCCAGCCCAGTCGGCCAGAGCTACGAAGACGCCGAAGGTCGCGAGCGCGCGGAGCACACGGGCGCACAACCGGTCGGCACGGAATCCAGTGAGAGGTATGGGTCTTTACGCTGCTTCGAAAGCATGTCAGTGGTGTCAAGTGGTGACAAGGTGGTAAAAAGGGGTGACAGAGAAGCCACATCTGGTGTTAATGGCCCATTAACACCAGATGTGGCTTCTGATCGAGGAAAGTGCATCGGTGTCCGCATGCTTGCGACCGGAACGATATACTACACGGATGTCGTATTCCTGCAATCAAAGTTCCCAACGCCCCAGACGTCCGGACGGGTCTTTCAAGGTGGACAGCCAACATAGAGCTTGTTGGTCTGTGACCACGTGGAAAGGACGGCCGTAAAGCTACGGGCAAAACTTCGTAAGCGCCAAGATTATGTCCAAACACTCCTTCTCTGTCACGGAGTAATACAATTCAGCCTTCTTGAGAGCGTGACTTGCATAAGCGACTACGTATTCGGTTTGGGCGCCTTTCCGTTGTGGCAAAACTGCACCAAGACCGATGCCACTTGCATCGGTGTGAATTTCTGTGGCCGCAGCAGGGTCGAAGTGACGAAGAATATGTGGTGAGGTCAGCAGGCGGCGCAGCTGGCGAAATGCGTCGTCACATGCAGATGACCATGCAGATATGCCTTTGCTGTTGGAAAGCAGACTCGTGAGAGGTGCGATGATGGACGCGAAGTTGCGCACGAAGCGACGAAAGTAGGAGCAGAGACTAACGAAACTTCGTAGGGCTTTCAGTGATGTAGGCAACGGAAAGTCAGCGACAGCTCGAAGCTTATCGGGATCCGGAAGAACACCGTCTCTGGTGATGACATGTCCCAAGATGGTTAGTTTTCGTGCTACGAAGTGGCACTTCTTGGAGTTAAGTTGTAGGCCTGCAGAAGTTAGACACGTCAGAATCTCGTGGAGGCGAGCAAGATGTGTCGGGAAATCAGATGAAAAGACTACGATGTCGTCCAGGTAACATAAGCAGGTTTTCTACTTGTGGGCACGCAAGATGGTGTCGATCATGCGCTCAAATGTGGCAGGCGCGTTGCAGAGCCCAAATGGCATGACTTTGAACTCATATAGGCCATCCGGCGTTACAAAGGCTGTTTTAGGGTGATCACATTCAGCCATTGGCACCTGCCAATACCCACAACGCAGATCCAAAGATGTAAAGTACTCGGCGCCTTGTAAACAGTCAAGAGCATCGTCTATTCGTGGTAGCGGGTAGACATCTTTTTTTGTAATATTGTTTAAGCAGTGATAGTCGACGCAAAATCGTACGGTGCCATCTTTTTTCTTGACCAGAACCACAGGTGATGACCAAGCGCTTTGAGAAGGCTGTATGACTCAACGTTTAAGCATGTCATCTACTTGCTCCGTAATGACGTGGCGCTCTTCGGCGGAAACGCGGTAAGGACGCTGTCGCAGAGGCGAATGTGAGCCGGTGTGAATAGTATGAGCGATAGTGGTGGTGCGGCCCAAAGCAGGTTCTTGAAAGTCGAAAATGAACGAAACTTGTTAAGGAGAGCAACAAGTTGGCGGCGATGCGAGAGGGGAAGGTCTGCGTCAATAGCATTGTCGAAGGCTGACAAACTTGATGGCTCAGACGCATGAGTGATTGCAGCAATGTGACATGGCGTTTCGTCGGGAAGAATAATATCATCGATATGGTCGACAGGTTGCACATATACTAACGTTTCACCACGAAGTAAGCCAATGGGGTAGTTGCAGTGGTTGTTGACCAGCATTACGGTTAAACCAGACGCAATTGTAAGAACAGCAAATGGGAGAACGATGCCCTTGCGTTCAGTAAAAACCGGAGATGGCGTAAACACCACCGTGCCGTCAGGTTGCGCCAGACATGAAAGGCTAATAGGGACCGAAGCTTCAGGAGGCAAGGTGATGTCGTCATCAGCGATGACTTTGCAGAGCAGAGGAGAGCCGTCGGGTGGTGGAAATTCACATGTTGGCACAAGGAACACTTCGGCACGAGAACAATCGATGATAGCTTCATGACGTGATAAGAAATCCCAACCCAGGATAAGGTCATGAGAGCAAGATGGTAGAACAAAAAACTGTACGACGTACAAAACGTCTCGAATGACGACGCGCGCCGTACACACAGCCGAGGGATGAATGCGTTGCGCGCTAGCCGTGGGCAGCACCAAGCCACTGAGAGATGTGGTCACTTTCTTCAGTTTCCTACAAAAGTTTGCGTTCATCACAGAAACGGCGGCCCCGGTATCAATTAACGCTAATGTGGCGACTCCCTCAACATCGACGTCAACAACATTTTGCGGCGAAAATGGAGGCCTTGGGAATTGCGCACAAGTTGCAGTTCTTGCCTCCGGAACTGCACTGATTAGTTTCCCTCCTCAAGAGGTGGTCGACGACGCATAGGGGATGGCGATCGGCGACGAGGTGATGGGAAACGAGCAGTCGATGGGTGGCGATCCGAGTCGGAGTGCCTCTGTTCATATGCAGACGTGGTGGTCTGCTGCGGTGCGTAGGTAGGAGCTCCGAAGTATGCGTGCGCAGGCGTTGGACGGCGGCGGCAGAAGCGTGCAATGTGGCCAGCGATGCCACACGCGAAACAGATAGGACGATTGTCTCGGGTGCGCCACTCATTAGATGGACGGAAAAAGCGAGGTGGGGGCCTGTAGACTGGAGGCGAGGCCGGAGGAGGTGGAGCCGATAAGGCGACTGGATGCGGTGGGGGCCGCGCGACCACAGCTGCGTAGCTGAGAGGTGAAGGCGGCGCAGTTGGTGCGTAGCCAGCAGTTGAGAGATCAGATGGCACCGAAGTGCACGGGTAAGAGGCCGGCACTGTAGGGAGTGCATTGCAAATTTCAGTGCGTATGGCCTGCTGCATATTCGAAGGGAGGCTTGTCGTGGGCGCGTCACTATGCGGCAGCAGGGAAAGCTGTCGGGCGACTTCCTCCCTGATGAAGTCTTTAATCTGGTTCGACAGAGTTCCTTGGTGAACGTTGCCATTGGCGAGTGCGACGGCCGAGATCGAATCTGGTGATGGGACACTCTGTCGGGTGATGGAACGCTGACGACGCAATTCATCGAAGCTCTGGCACAGGCTTACGAGGACTGCCACCGTGGTCGGGCTCTTCGCCAGCAACATCTGGAATGCGCCATCCTCGATGCCTTTGAGAATATGTCGAATTTTCTCTTCTTCAGGCATGGATGAGTTAACACGCCTGCAGAGGTCGAGCACATCCTCAATATAGCTAGTAAAGGTCTCACCAGGTTGCTGGGCTCGATGGCGCAGACGCTGGTCAGTGCGGAGCTTGCGGACCTCTGGTCGGCCGAACGCTTCGGTCACGAGGGTCTTGAAGGTGGACCAGCTGGCGATGGCGGTTTCGCGGTTGGTGAACCATAGCTTGGCGACGTCAGCCAAGTAAAAGATGACATAGGCAAGCTTAGAGTCGTTGTCCCATTTGTTGCTGGCACTCACGCGTTCGTACAAGGAGAGCCAGTCTTCGACGTCTTGCTCACCACTGCCGCTGAAGATTGGTGGGTCCCGCTGACGGGTAGCACCGGGGCAGGTCGACGGGGCAGCCGATGGTGCTGGCTGTGCTGGGATGGGCTGGTTGGCGACTGCGTCAGTCATGTTGTACGGTAGTCTTTCGGCCAACTTGCGAGAGCGGAGCTCCAGGTCTGCTTAGGGATCCCCGGCACCTCCACCAAATGCGATGATGTTTATTAGAACAGAGGAGTCGCAACGAGGTCGCGACGGAAAATGGGCGAACAGCAAGTCTGGCAAAGGCGGCACAGGTTCTCGCGCAATCAGAGCACGGGCTTTTCGTTGTCTTCCGAAGGCGCATACGCGTTGGTGCGTATGCTCCACTACAACTCGTATAATGAAAAGGCGCTCGGTAAGCATGAAAACAAGAAAAAAAGGGCAGATCCCACGTACTTGGGAATCGACATTATGCGAAGCATGCGGAGGTAAGGTGACCATGTTGCATCTTTTTAATTGAGCGACATGTCATGAAACGACGCTAATTATATGTACAGTGTCAATTTTTATGAAAGGGAACACGAGAACACGTGGCCTGCGCGCTCCGACGGCTGCTGGCAGCGCGTTCAAGCGGAAACGAGAGCAACCGCAGTCTCTTTTAGCGTCATCTCGCGGCGAGCAAAACAATTTGTCGCTGATATGGTACCAGCAGCAAGATTGTGACCCCTCCCCCTTCAAGGCAATTACGGGCTCTCTCGTAATCACCTTAAGAGGCAGGGGGTCCCAATGTTGCCGTTCTATATCGGCAACGAATGGTTGCTTTGCTCGCCACGAGACGCGAAAAGAGACTGTGGTTGCTATCGCTTCCGCTTGAACGCGCTGCCAGCAGCCGCCGGAGCATGCAGGCCACGCGTCGCCATGTTCCCTGTCATAAAAATTGACACTGTACAAATGTTGCACGCACAGACATATTTAGAAGAGTTGCAGATGTTCATATAACCAGTTGTTTGCACTTGCGCAATGACGTCAAATAGAACATGCGTACTAGCAACGCCAGAAGCTGATAGGAAGCGCTGATGCTCGCGACGATACTGGCCCTGGACACTTCTACGTAAATTAACTTCAGCGCATGACTTTAACCCGACGTGACGGCTCTATCAAAGAAGCACATATGTAATGTTTATAAAATTGGGTAGGCAGCACTGCGAACACTTTTGACGCTTCAGGAAGAGATTCGCGTCTATTTGAAAGGTAGTTCCGAGTCCTGGCGTAACTCTGTGGTAAAATGCCTCATTGGCACGCAGAATACTTTGGTTCGATTCCAGTTGGGACCCTGGAATTTATTCTTTGCATTCGTCGGGTTGACGCTACCTATGTCGGCTATGAACGCTCGTGCGTAAAAATTGCCCATGTGTGTCATTACTGGGTAGATACTAAGTGTCAATCAACTGTGGCACATACCCGCGTACCAGCGGCACATACCCGCCAGTGGATATGTGCCACTTTCTGGCGGGTAGTGTCTGAGGACTTACGCAGCGGGATTGTGACATTATTCATGTCTTGACCAGCGCGTCATATTCGTTAAACCATTTTATCCTCCCATACTAACTTTGGTTCACGCCAAGTTACAAGGGTGACCACAAGAGCACCCAAACGTAAGCGACTAGATAGATGGATACGCTCCAAGTCGCCGAAGCTCGCTAAGAAATGTTTCGAATTTAAAACACACGTGACGACTCCACCTTGAAGTGCTAACCATGGCCAGCACACAGAAAAAAGAAACAAGAAACACAAGAAAGTGCACCACAGCATTCGTGTCATGCACTTTTTTGTGTATGTTCTTTTTTTATGCACTGATCTCCATGAATATGTGCCAACTAGCCCAATTTGCTGGTTTACTTCACCTTGAAGTGCTCGCACCAGCTTGCCGTGACGTCTTAGATGGAAGTAAGGCTTAGAAGTCTGTCGGTAAAACAGAATGTTTACATTGAGGCACTAAAAAAACCTGTAGTATAGCCACTGTAAACAAAAAAAAACATTAACTGAACCAATGTGGCTGAAAACCACAAATATCTTGTGCTTCATGATGTTCCACTTACGTCCAAGCTTCGGCGTTTACTTCAAGTTTACTTACTTCAAAAGTAAACTTAGGCCTCCGTTTCCTCTTCAAACAATTATTCTATTACGATGAAATCAATGACAGCTGAGCTCGAAAAGAATAATGCATCTCTTCGAACTGGTTCGTTGTTTCAGTTTAATGACCAGTTCATTGGCACGAGCCCGGTTCAAAGAGCACGGTCAATGGCTCGTGGCGGATCCAGAGGTGGATGGTAGGGGTGATCACATCCGTTCCCTCCCAAAGGTTGTATCAGCACTCCCATTCCGCTCCGTTTAGTGCCAGTCATCTACCTCTATCACCGATTAGGACAGATTAGGGGGACAAAATTAACGGTATTTATGCTGTGATGTGGTTGTTAATACGATAGTGATTGCTGAAAACAAAAGTCAAGATTCTCCAGTACAACTTTGAGCAACCCTCTCCCCCCACCGAAAAAAAATGAGTGGCTCGATCTAACTGTTCATGAGCGCAGGAACGGTGATGTCACCCGCATAATGCGCAAAGTGCAAAAATTCAGACGCATGCAAAACCGAGGCAGATTAGTCTCCCTACTTCTTCCTCTCTACCTTCTCCCCTCAAACCGGCGAACACGCGTTCCCGCCACTGACCGCAGCCGACTCTCTCCAAGCTCGCAGGTCTTGAAAAGCGTCTGCTGAAAAAAGTACAAAGTCGTTTGCGTCCAACTTCTAAGGTGCTTCGCTCATTGGTTGTATTAGTACACGGAAATGCTAGTTATGATTACCATACATCTCACTTGCGTGAGGATTACAAACATACATGTGACTTAATGCCTTGTACTTTCTTTCAACCCAGTGGTGGGCAAGGAAGAGAAGGGCACCAAGAAGAAAGTCAAGGAAGCTTCAGGTCAGTAGTGCCTTATGTTCTTCATTCCTCAAGGTTGCTCTGGGCCTTATTCACTTTCCCAAATAGTTTAAAAAAAGCCCGTAGTTGTCCACAGTTGTCAACATATGAACCTGTCGTGATTACGTTTATTCGAGCAGAGAAGTCGCAACGAGGTCGCGACGGAAAATGGGTGTACGGCAAGTCTGGCACAGGCGGCACAAGCTCTCGCGCAAGCAGAGCACGGGGCTTTTCGTTATCTTCCGAAGGCGCATACGCGTTGGTGAGTATGCTCCCCTACAATAGCCCCGTGGTGAAGGGTAGCCATCCTGGCGACTCAGGGAGTAGGCACAATGAGGGGGTCGTAGTAGGGCTTGAGACGGTCGACGTGTACGGTCTCGCGTCCTCGACGTCGCAAGTCTGGTGATTGTGTTAGTGGCTCGATGATGTAGTTCACCGGGGAGGTCAGGTCAATGACACGGTACGGACCATGGTACCGGGCCAAAAGTTTCGAAGGCAGGCCAGGAACGTGTGGGGGCACCCAAAGCCACACAAGGGAGCCAGCACGAAACGTAGGAGCTATGTGGTGAGCGACGTCATGTCGAGTATTTTGTAGACCTTGAGCCTCACTTGTCAGAGACCGAGCCAACTGACGGCAGTCTTCAGCGTATCAGGCGATTTCCGAAAGCGGGGAGCACTCAGATGCATCAGGGCGGTACGGGAGTATAGTGTCGAGTGGTTGGGAAGGTTCGCGGCCGTACAATAGAAAGAACGGGGAAAAACCGGTAGTCGCTTGCGTCGCGGTGTTATAAGTGAAGTTAATAAAAGGCAATACAGCGTCCCAGTTAGTGTGGTCGGAGGAGGTGTACATCCTCAACATGTCACCAAGTGTGCGGTTGAACCGCTCAGTGAGACCATTTGTCTGTATATGGTATGCAGTAGATTTCCGGTGGATGATGTTGCATTCAGCGAGGATAGCTTGGATGACCTCCGACAGGAACACTCGACCATATCACTGAGTAATTCCCGTGGAGCACCATGGCGTAGAATGAAGCTGCGGAGAATGAAGAGTGCAACTTCGTGGGCGGTCGCTGCCGGTAGATCTGCAGTCTCAGCGTAGTGTGTCAGATGATCGACTCCGACAATAATCCACCGGTTTCCAGAGATACTATATGGGAGGGGGCCATAGAGGTCTATACCCACGTGGTCAAATGGGCGAGCCGGGCACGGGAGCGGCTGTAACATGCCAGTTAGGTGCCGCGGAGGTGTCTTGTTCTGTTGGCAGGTGGTGCAAGAGTGAACGTATTTCTGCACAAAGCGATACATTCCTCGCCAGTAATATTGTTGGCGCAGCCTTTCGTAGGTTTTCAGGACACCTGCGTGAGCACTTTGGGGACCTGCATGGAAATTCGTGCAGATGTCAGAGCGCATATGAGTTGGGACAGCAAGGAGCCACTTCCGACCACCAGGCATGTAGTTGCGGCGGTACAGAATGTTGTCTCGTAAGGAAAAGTGGGCTGCTTGCCGGCGTAGCGCTCTCGTGGAAGGGACAGCAGATGGATCGGTAAGGTAGTCGACTAACAAGGCAAGGTATGGGTCTTTGCGAGTGGTTCTTAAGATAGAGAAATGAAGAGAAAAGTGAGCCCCGTTATTGTCTTCTTCAGGAGCGACACCGCCACAGAGCTCACAAGGGATGGGGGTGAGGAGGGATAAAAAGGGTAGAAGTAAAGGTATAGAAAAGAGGAAGAAGAAGCAACAACAAACTGAGGGGATAGGAGAGACAGGAAAGATGGAAGCATGGTCACTGGAGTCCGAGGACGGGGTACACTTGCGAGAGATGTTGTCGGCGTCTGTAGATGGCGTAGAGCAGGTCCAGTAGGTCAGAACTGCACTGTCGTCGAAGACCGTCGGCGACAGGAGGTGACGTAGGGCCAGCCCAGTCGGCCAGAGCTACGAAGACGCCGAAGGTCGCGAGCGCGCGGAGCACACGGGCGCACAACCGGTCGGCACGGAATCCAGTGAGAGGTATGGGTCTTTACGCTGCTTCGAAAGCATGTCAGTGGGGTCAAGTGGTGACAAGGTGGTAAAAAGGGGTGACATAGAAGCAACATCTGGTGTTAATGGCCCATTAACACCAGATGTGGTTTCTGATCGGGAAAGTGCATCGGTGTCCGCATGCTTGCGACCGGAACGATATACTACACGGATGTCGTATTCCTGCAATCAAAGTTCCCAACGCCCCAGACGTCCGGACGGGTCTTTCAAGGTGGACAGCCAACATAGAGCTTGTTGGTCTGTGACCACGTCGAAAAGACGGCCGTAAAGCTACGGGCAAAACTTCGTAAGCGCCAAGATTATGTCCAAACACTCCTTCTCTGTCACGGAGTAATACAATTCAGCCTTCTTGAGAGCGCGACTTGCATAAGCGACTACCCATTCGGTTTGGGTGCCTTTCCGTTGTGGCAAAACTGCACCAAGACCGATGCCACTTGCATCGGTGTGAATTTCTGTGGCCGCAGCAGGGTCGAAGTGACGAAGAATAGGTGGTGAGGTCAGCAGGCGGCGCAGCTGGCGAAATGCGTCGTCACATGCAGGTGACCATGCAGATATGCCTTTGCTGTTGGAAAGGAGACTCGTGAGAGGTGCGATGATGGACGCGAAGTTGCGCACGAAGCGACGAAAGTAGGAGCAGAGACCGACGAAACTTCGTAGGGCTTTCAGTGATGTAGGCAACGGAAAGTCAGCGACAGCTCGAAGCTTATCGGGATCCTGAAGAACACCGTCTCTGGTGATGACATGTCCCAAGATGGTTAGTTTTCGTGCTACGAAGTGGCACTTCTTGGAGTTAAGTTGTAGGCCTGCAGAAGTTAGACACGTCAGAATCTCGTGGAGGCGAGCAAGATGTGTCGGGAAATCAGATGAAAAGACTACGATGTCGTCCAGGTAACATAAGCAGGTTTTCTACTTGTGGGCACGGAAGATGGTGTCGATCATGCGCTCAAATGTGGCAGGCGCGTTGCAGAGCCCAAATGGCATGACTTTGAACTCATATAGGCCATCCGGCGTTACAAAGGCTGTTTTAGGGCGATCACATTCAGCCATTGGCACCTGCCAATACCCACAACGCAGATCCAAAGATGTAAAGTACTCGGCGCCTTGTAAACAGTCAAGAGCATCGTCTATTCGTGGTAGCGGGTAGACATCTTTTTTCGTAATATTGTTTAAGCGGCGATAGTCGACGCAAAGTCGTACGGTGCCATCTTTTTTCTTGACCAGAACCACAGGTGATGACCAAGCGCTTTGAGAAGGCTGTATGACTCCACGTTTAAGCATGTCATCTACTTGCTCCGTAATGACGTGGCGCTCTTCGGCGGAAACGCGGTAAGGACGCTGTCGCAGAGGCGAATGTGAGCCGGTGTCAATAGTATGAGCGATAGTGGTGGTGCGGCCCAAAGCAGGTTCTTGAAAGACGAAAAAAGAACGAAACTTGTTAAGGAGAGCAACAAGTTGGCGGCGATGCGAGAGGGGAAGGTCTGCGTCAATAGCATTGTCGAAGGCTGACGAACTTGATGGCTCAGACGCATGAGTGAATGCAGCAATGTGACATGGCGTTTCGTCGAGAAGAATAATATCATCGATATGGTCGACAGGTTGCACATATCCTAACGTTTCACCACGAAGTAAGCCAATGGGGTAGTTGCAGTGGTTGTTGACCAGCATTACGGTTAAACCAGACGCAATTGTAAGAACAGCAAATGGGGGAACGATGCCCTTGCGTTCAGTAAATACCGGAGATGGCGTGAACACCACCGTGCGGTCAGGTTGCGCCAGACATGAAAGGCTAATAGGGACCGAAGCTTCAAGAGGCAAGGTGATGTCGTCATCAGCGATGACTTTGCAGAGCAGAGGAGAGCGGTCGGGTGGTGGAAATTCACATGTTGGCACAAGGGACACTTCGGCACGGGAACAATCGATGATAGCTTCATGACGTGATAAGAAATCCCAACCCAGGATAAGGTCATGAGAGCAAGATGGTAGAACAAAAAACTGTACGACGTACAAAACGTCTCGAATGACGACGCGCGCCGTACACACAGCCGAGGGATAAATGCGTTGCGCGCTAGCCGTGGACAGCACCAAGCCACTGAGAGATGTGGTCACTTTCTTCAGTTTCCTACAAAAGTTTGCGTTCATCACAGAAACGGCGGCCCCGGTATCAATTAACGCTAAGGTGGCGACTCCCTCAACATCGACGTCAACAACATTTTGCGGCGAAAATGGAGGCCTTGGGAATTGCGCACAAGTTGCAGTTCTTGCCTCCGGAACTGCACTGATTAGTTTCCCTCCTCAAGAGGTGGTCGACGACGCATAGGGGATGGCGATCGGCGACGAGGTGATGGGAAACGAGCAGTCGATGGGTGGCGATCCGAGTCGGAGTGCCTCTGTTCATATGCAGACGTGGTGGTCTGCTGCAGTGCGTAGGTAGGAGCTCCGAAGTATGCGTGCGCAGGCGTTGGACGGCGGCGGCAGAAGCGTGCAATGTGGCCAGCGATGCCACACGCGAAAGAGATGGGACAATTGTCTCGGGTGCGCCACTCATTAGATGGACGGAAAAAGCGAGGTGGGGGCCTGTAGACTGGAGGCGAGGCCGGAGGAGGTGGAGCCGATAAGGCGACTGGATGCGGTGGGGGCCGCGCGACCACAGCTGCGTAGCTGAGAGGTGAAGGCGGCGCAGTTGGTGCGTAGCCAGCAGTTGAGAGATCAGATGGCACCGAAGTGCACGGGTAAGAGGCCGGCACTGTAGGGAGTGCATTGCAAATTTCAGTGCGTATGGCCTGCTGCATATTCGAAGGGAGGCTTGTCGTGGGCGCGTCACTATGCGGCAGCAGGGAAAGCTGTCGGGCGACTTCCTCCCTGATGAAGTCTTTAATCTGGTTCGACAGAGTTCCTTGGTGAACGTTGCAATTGGCGAGTGCGACGGCCGAGATCGAATCTGGTGATGGGACACTCTGTCGGGCGATGGAACGCTGACGACGCAATTCATCGAAGCTCTGGCACAGGCTTACGAGGACTGCCACCGTGGTCGGGCTCTTCGCCAGCAACACCTGGAATGCGCCATCCTCGATGCCTTTGAGAATATGTCGAATTTTCTCTTCTTCAGGCATGGATGAGTTAACACGCCTGCAGAGGTCGAGCACATCCTCAATATAGCTAGTAAAGGTCTCACCAGGTTGCTGGGCTCGGTGGCGCAGACGCTGGTCAGCGCGGAGCTTGCGGACCTCTGGTCGGCCGAACGCTTCGGTCACGAGGGTCTTGAAGGTGGACCAGCTGGCGATGGCGGTTTCGCGGTTGGTGAACCATAGCTTGGCGACGTCAGCCAAGTAAAAGATGACATAGGCAAGCTTAGAGTCGTTGTCCCATTTGTTGCTGGCACTCACGCGTTCGTACAAGGAGAGCCAGTCTTCGACGTCTTGCTCACCACTGCCGCTGAAGATTGGTGGGTCCCGCTGACGGGTAGCACCGGGGCAGGTCGACGGGGCAGCCGATGGTGCTGGCTGTGCTGGGATGGGCTGGTTGGCGACTGCGTCAGTCATGTTGTACGGTAGTCTTTCGGCCAACTTGCGAGAGCGGAGCTCCAGGTCTGCTTAGGGATCCCCGGCACCTCCACCAAATGCGATGATGTTTATTAGAACAGAGGAGTCGCAACGAGGTCGCGACGGAAAATGGGCGAACAGCAAGTCTGGCAAAGGCGGCACAGGTTCTCGAGCAATCAGAGCACGGGCTTTTCGTTGTCTTCCGAAGGCGCATACGCGTTGGTGCGTATGCTCCACTACAACTCGTATAATGAAAAGGCGCTCGGTAAGCATGAAAACAAGAAAAAAAAGGGCAGATCCCACGTACTTGGGAATCGACATTATGCGAAGCATGCGGAGGTAAGGTGACCATGTTGCATCTTTTTAATTGAGCGACATGTCATGAAACGACGCTAATTATATGTACAGTGTCAATTTTTATGAAAGGGAACACGAGAACACGTGGCCTGCGCGCTCTGGCGGCTGCTGGCAGCGCGTTCAAGCGGAAACGAGAGCAACCGCAGTCTCTTTTAGCGTCATCTCGCGGCGAGCAAAACAATTTGTCGCTGATATGGTACCAGCAGCAAGATTGTGACCCCTCCCCCTTCAAGGCAATTACGGGCTCTCCCGTAATCACCTTAAGAGGCAGGGGGTCGCAATGTTGCCGTTCTATATCGGCAACGAAAGGTTGTTTTGCTCGCCACGAGACGCGAAAAAAGACTGTGGTTGCTATCGCTTCCGCTTGAACGCGCTGCCAGCAGCCGCCGGAGCATGCAGGCCACGCGTCGCCATGTTCCCTGTCATAAAAATTGACACTGTACAAATGTTGCACGCACAGACATATGTAGAAGAGTTGCAGATGTTTATATAACCAGTTGTTTGCACTTGCGCAATGATGTCAAATAGAACATGCGTACTAGCAACACCAGAAGCTGATAGGAAGCGCTGATGCTCGCGACGATACTGGCCCTGGACACTTCTACGTAAATTAACTTCAGCGCATGACTTTAACCCGACGTGACGGCTCTATCAAAGAAGCACATATGTAATGTTTATAAAATTGGGTAGGCAGCACTGCGAACACTTTTGACGCTTCAGGAAGAGATTCGCGTCTATTTGAAAGGTAGTTCCGAGTGCTGGCGTAACTCTGTGGTAAAATGCCTCATTGGCACGCAGAATACTTTGGTTCGATTCCAGTTGGGACCCTGGAATTTATTCTTTGCATTCGTCGGGTTGACGCTACCTATGTCGGCTATGAACGCTCGTGCGTAAAAATTGCCCATGTGTGTCATTACTGGGTAGATACTAAGTGTCAATCAACTGTGGCACATACCCGCGTACCAGCGGCACATACCCGCCAGTGGATATGTGCCACTTTCTGGCGGGTAGTGTCTGAGGACTTACGCAGCGGGATTGTGACATTATTCATGTCTTGACCAGCGCGTCATATTCGTTAAACCATTTTATCCTCCCATACTAACTTTGGTTCACGCCAAGTTACAAGGGTGACCACAAGAGCACCCAAACGTAAGCGACTAGATAGATGGATACGCTCCAAGTCGCCGAAGCTCGCTAAGAAATGTTTCGAATTTAAAACACACGTGACGACTCCACCTTGAAGTGCTAACCATGGCCAGCACACAGAAAAAAGAAACAAAAAACACAAGAAAGTGCACCACAGCATTCGTGTCATGCACTTTTTTGTGTTTGTTCTTTTTTATGCACTGATCTCCATGAATATGTGCCAACTAGCCAAATTTGCTGGTTTACTTCACTTTGAAGTGCTAGCACCATCTTGCCGTGACGTCTTAGATGGAAGTAAGGCTTAGAAGTCTGTCGGTAAAACAGAATGTTTACATTGAGGCACTAAAAAACCTGTATTATAGCCACTGTAACCAAAAAAAAAACATTAACTGAACCAATGTGGCTGAAAACCACAAATATCTTGTGCTTCATGATGTTCCACTTACGTCCAAGCTTCGGCGTTTACTTCAAGTTTACTTACTTCAAAAGTAAACATAGGCCTCCGTTTCCTCTTCAAACAATTATTCTATTACGGTGAAATCAATGACAGCTGAGCTCGAAAAGAATAATGCATCTCTTCGAACTGGTTCGTTGTTTCAGTTTAATGACCAGTTCATTGGCACGAGCCCGGTTCAAAGAGCACGGTCAATGGCTCGTGGCGGATCCAGAGGTGGATGGTAGGGGTGATCACATCCGTTCCCTCCCAAAGGTTGTATCAGCACTCCCATTCCGCTCCCTTCAGTGCCAGTCATCTACCTCTATCACCGATTAGGACAGATTAGAGGACAAAATAACGGTATTTATGCTGTGATGTGGTTGTTAAGACGATAGTGATTTGTGAAAACAAAAGTCAAGATTCTCCAGTACAACTTTGAGCAACCCCCTCCCCCCACCGAAAAAAAATGAGTGGCTCGATCTAACTGTTCATGAGCGCAGGAACGGTGATGTCACCCGCATGATGCGCGAAGTGCAAAAATACAGACGCATGCAAAACCGAGGCAGATTAGTCTCCCTACTTCTTCCTCTCTACCTTCTCCCCTCAAACCGGCGAACACGCGTTCCCGCCACTGACCGCAGCCGACTCTCTCCAAGCTCGCGGGTCTTGAAAAGCGTCTGCTGAAAAAAAGTACAAAGTCGTTTGCGTCCAATTTCTAAGGAGCTTCGCTCATTGGTTGTATTAGTACACGGAAATGCTAGTTATGATTACCATACATCTCACTTGCGTGAGGATTACAAACATACATGTGACTTAATGCCTTGTACTTTCCTTCAACCCAGTGGTGGGCAAGGAAGAGAAGGGCACCAAGAAGAAAGTCAAGGAAGCTTCAGGTCAGTAGTGCCTTATGTTCTTCATTCCTCAAGGTTGCTCTGGGCCTTATTCACTTTCCCAAATAGTTTAAAAAAAGCCCGTAGTTGTCCACAGTTGTCAACATATGAACCTGTCGTGATTACGTTTATTCGAGCAGAGAAGTCGCAACGAGATCGCGACGGAAAATGGGTGTACGGCAAGTCTGGCACAGGCGGCACAAGCTCTCGCGCAAGCAGAGCACGGGGCTTTTCGTTATCTTCCGAAGGCGCATACGCGTTGGTGAGTATGCTCCCCTACAATACCCCCGTGATGAAGGGTAGCCATCCTGGCGACTCAGGGAGTAGGCACAATGAGGGGGTCGTAGTAGGGCTTGAGACGGTCGACGTGTACGGTCTCGCGTCCTCGACGTCACAAGTCTGGTGATTGTGTTAGTGGCTCGATGATGTAGTTCACCGGGGAGGTCAGGTCAATGACACGGTACGGACCATGGTACCGGGCCAAAAGTTTCGAAGGCAGGCCAGGAACGTGTGGGGGCACCCAAAGCCACACAAGGGAGCCAGCACGAAACGTAGGAGCTATGTGGTGAGCGACGTCGTGTCGAGCATTTTGTAGACCTTGAGCCTCACTTGTCAGAGACCGAGCCAACTGACGGCAGTCTTCAGCGTATCAGGCGATTTCCGAAAGCGGGGAGCACTCAGATGCATCAGGGCGGTACGGGAGTATAGTGTCGAGTGGTTGGGAAGGTTCGCGGCCGTACAATAGAAAGAACGGGGAAAAACCGGTAGTCGCTTGCGTCGCGGTGTTATAAGTGAAGGTAATAAAAGGCAATACAGCGTCCCAGTTAGTGTGGTCGGAGGAGGTGTACATCCTCAACATGTCACCAAGTGTGCGGTTGAACCGCTCAGTGAGACCATTTGTCTGTGTATGGTATGCAGTAGATTTCCGGTGGATGATGTTGCATTCAGCGAGGATAGCTTGGATGACCTCCGGCAGGAACACTCGACCATATCACTGAGTAATTCCCGTGGAGCACCATGGCGTAGAATGAAGCTGCGGAGAATGAAGAGTGTAACTTCATGGGCGGTCGCTGCCGGTAGAGCTGCAGTCTCAGCGTAGCGTGTCAGATGATCGACTCCGACAATAATCCACCGGTTTCCAGAGATACTATATGGGAGGGGGCCATAGAGGTCTATACCCACGCGGTCGAATGGGCGAGCCGGGCAAGGGAGCGGCTGTAACATGCCAGTTAGGTGCCGCGGAGGTGTCTTGTTCTGTTGGCAGGTGGCGCAAGACTGAACGTATTTCTGCACAAAGCGATACATTCCTCGCCAGTAATATTGTTGGCGCAGCCTTTCGTAGGTTTTCAGGACACCTGCGTGAGCACTTTGGGGACCTGCATGGAAATTCATGCAGATGTCAGAGCGCATATGAGTTGGGACAGCAAGGAGCCACTTCCGACCACCAGGCATGTAGTTGCGGTGGTACAGAATGTTGTCTCGTAAGGAAAAGTGGGCTGCTTGCCGGCGTAGCGCTCTCGTGGAAGGGACAGCAGATGGATCGGTAAGGTAGTCGACTAACAAGGCAAGGTATGGGTCTTTGCGAGTGGTTCTTAAGATAGAGAAAGGAAGAGAAAAGTGAGCCCCGTTATTGTCTTCTTCAGGAGCGACACCGCCACAGAGCTCACAAGGGATGGGGGTGAGGAGGGATAAAAAGGGTAGAAGTAAAGGTATAGAAAAGAGGAAGAAGAAGCAACAACAAACTGAGGGGATAGGAGAGACAGGAAAGATGGAAGGATGGTCACTGGAGTCCGAGGACGGGGTACACTTGCGAGAGATGTTGTCGGCGTCTGTAGATGGCGTAGAGCAGGTCCAGTAGGTCAGAACTGCACTGTCGTCGAAGACCGTCGGCGACAGGAGGTGACGTAGGGCCAGCCCAGTCGGCCAGAGCTACGAAGACGCCGAAGGTCGCGAGCGCATGGGGCACACGGGCGCACAACCGGTCGGCACGGAATCCAGTGAGAGGTATGGGTCTTTACGCTGCTTCGAAAGCATGTCAGTGGTGTCAAGTGGTGACAAGGTGGTAAAAAGGGGTGACAGAGAAGCCACATCTGGTGTTAATGGCCCATTAACACCAGATGTGGCTTCTGATCGGGAAAGTGCATCGGTGTCCGCATGCTTGCGACCGGAACGATATACTACACGGATGTCGTTTTCCTGCAATCAAAGTTCCCAACGCCCCAGACGTCCGGACGGGTCTTTCAAGGTGGACAGCCCACATAGAGCTTGTTGGTCTGTGACCACGTCGAAAGGACGGCCGTAAAGCTACGGGCAAAACTTCGTAAGCGCCAAGATTATGTCCAAACACTCCTTCTCTGTCACGGAGTAATACAATTCAGCCTTCTTGAGAGCGCGACTTGCATAAGCGACTACGTATTCGGTTTGGGTGCCTTTCCGTTGTGGCAAAACTGCGCCAAGACTAATGCCACTTGCATCAGTGTGAATTTCTGTGGCAGCAGTGGGGTCGTAGTGGCGAAGAATAGGTGGTGAGGTCAGCAGGCGGCGCAGCTGGCGAAATGCGTCGTCACGTGCAGGTGACCATGCAGATATACCTTTGCTGTTGGAAAGCAGACTAGCCAGAGGTGCGATGATAGACTCGAAGTTGCGCACGAAGTGACGAAAGTAAGAGCAAAGACCAACGAAACGTTTTAGGGCTTTCGGTGATGCGGGCATAGGGAAGTCAGCGACAGCTCGAAGCTTATCGGGATCCAGAAGAACACCGTCTCTTGTGATGACGTGTCCCAAAATGGTTAGTTTTCGGGCTGCGAAGTGGCACTTCTTGGTGTTAAGTTGTAGGCCTGCAGAAGTTAGACACGTCAGAATCTCGTGGAGACGACGAAGATGTGTCGGGAAATCAGCTGAAAAGACTATGATGTCATCTAGGTAACACAAGCAAGTTTTTCACTTATGGGCACGCAATATGGTAATCATGCGCTCAAATGTCGCAGGCGCGTTGCAGAGCTCAAATGGCATAACTTTGAACTCATATAGGCCATCCGGCGTTACAAAGGCTGTTTTAGGGCGATAACACTCAGCCATTAGCACCTGCTAATACACAGAACGCAGATCCAAGGATGTAAAGAACTCGGCGTCTTGTAAACAGTCAAGAGCACCGTCTATTCGTGGTAGTGGGTAGACGTCTTTCTTTGTAATCTTGTTTAAGCGGCGATAGTCCACGCAAAATCGAACGTTGCCATCTTTTTTCTGTACCAGAACCACGGGTAACGACCAAGCGCTTTGAGAATGCTGTATGACTCCACGTTCAAGCATGCCATCTACTTGCTCCGTAATGACGCGGCGCTTTTCGGCAGAAACGCGGTAACGACGCTGTCGCAGAGGCGAATGTGAGCCGGTGTCAATAGTATGAGTGACAGTCGTGGTGCGGCCCAAAACAGGTTTCTGAAGGTCGAAAGAAGAGCGAAACTTGTTAAGGAGAGCAACAAGTTGGCTGCGATGCGAGGGGGGAAAGTCTGCGTCAATAGCATTGTCGAAGGCTGGCGAGCTTGATGGCTTAGACGCATGAGTGATTGCGGCAAAGTGACATGGGGTTTCGTCAGGAAGAATAATATCATCGATAAGGTTGACAGGTTGTACATATTGTCACGACGCAGACACAGCAGGAGTCCGATATAGAAAAGCTCACTTTAAATAAAATGAAAGGCGCACGTAAAGAGGACCGGGCTAGAGCTTCGTCTTCCTCTCTGGCTGTGCGAGCTCTCCTCTGCAGGTTGAATGCGGCATTTGCCTCCCTCCAGGAAGAGCATCGACCCGATGCTCGGCTACAGAATACGCGGTGTATGTTGTTGACGTATTACGCAACTGGCTCACTGCAATATGGCTTCATCCGAACAACGTGTACGATTTCAGATTTTTGAGCTCGCGAGGAACTGTCAGGGATGACCTCATAATTCACGTCACTTAGGTGCCGTACAACATTGTAGGGACCAAAGTACTTCTTCAGTAACTTTTCAGAAAGGCCGCGTCGATGAATAGGGCTCCAGAGCCACACTTTCTCGCCTGGTTGATAAGTGACGTATTGGTGTCGCAGGTTATAACGTTGTGCGTCGTAACTCTGCTGTCAGGCGATTCGCACACGTGCTAGCTGCCGTGCCTCTTCAGCTCGTTGAGTAAAGGCTTGAACATCCATGTCTGTATCGTCGCAGTCGTGCAGCAGCACGGCATCAAGCATTGTCGTCACTTCACGGCCATAAAGAAGACTAAATGGCGTGCTCCGTGTAGTTTCCTGCTGCGCCGTATTATAGGCAAACGTCACGTATGGTAGAACGTCGTCCCAATTTTTATGATCCACGTCGATGTACGTACTGAGCATATCAGCAATTGTCTTGTTGAGGCGTTCTGTTAAGCCGTTGGTTTGTGGGTGGTAGGAGGTAGTTTTTCAATGCGCTGTTCCACTCAACTCAAGCACTGACTTGAGGAGCATAGCCGTGAAAGCGGTACCTCTGTCTTTTATTATAATTCTAGGAGCACCAAGCCTCAGAACGATATTTTCAATGAAAAATCAGTGCTGCTTCTACTGCGGTTCCACTTGATAAAGCCTTTGTTTCTGCGTAGCGAGTAAGATAGTCCGTAGCGACAATTACCCACTTGTTTCCAGTATGCGAAGTCGGAAATGGTCCAAGGAGATCCATTGCAATTTGTGCAAAAAGCATGGTGGGAACTTGAACTGGTTGCAACGATCCGGCTGGTTTTAAAGGTGGCGATTTTCATCGTTGACAATCGAGGCACGTGCGAATGTAATGCTTTACAGTGCCTGGAAGCTTCGGCCAGTAGTACTTGTGTTGGATTCCGGCCAATGTGCGCGTGTATTCGAGGTGGCCGGAGGTTGGCTCATCGTGGCAAGCGCTCAGGATCTCATCGCGAACGGATGTCGGGATGACAAGTAAGTGGGCATTTCCGCTGGGGGCAAATTTCTTCTTGTATAGGACACCACTGCGCAAGCAGAA